GCTGAAGAGCTGAGGGACAGCGCCCAGGCCCAGAGTTCAGGCCCCACAACTGGACCAAAACTAAATAAATAAAAAATAAAATAAAAAATAAATTCTTGTTTGAGGAGTTGAAACGTGGCTCAGTGGTAGAGTGTTTGCCTCACATGCATGAGACCCTGGGTTCGATTCCTCAGCACCTCATAAATAGAAAGGGCCAGAAGTGGCATTGTGGCTCAAGTGGTAGAGCACTAGCCTTGAGCTGAAGAGCCTCAAGACCGACAAAAAATAAATAAAATAAAGTAAAAAATAAATTCTTGTTTCAGTAACAATAAAGTTTTTTTAATGCCAGTGAATTTCCTACTATTCACCAAATGCAAATACAGTACACATCAATTACTGCTCTGTATAAATCATTCTGCATGTGTGTGTATTTGTGTGTGTGTGTGTGTGTGTGTGTGTGTATGTTTGTGGGAGTGCACACTTTCTAGTACTGGGGCTTGAACTGAGGGCACTCAGTTTTCCACTCAATGCTGGTGGAGAGAGTCTCATGGACTTTCTGCCCAAGCTGGCTTTGAACTGCAATCCTTAGATTTCAGCCTCCTGAATAGCTGAGCCACTGGAGTTCGGCTTATTAGTCATTTTTGTCATTGTTGTATCAAGCCCATTGTTTGAAATTTCTTCTTTACTATCAGTCATTTATGGTGAAGTTGTTGGCTGTGTGTGTGTGTGTGTGTGTGTGTGTGTGTGTTGGTATAGGGCTGAAACATGGCCTCATACTCTTGTTTAACTTTTTCAAACTCAGCCTTGCACACTTGCTTTTTATCTCAAGGCTAGCATTCTACTGCTTGAGCCACACCTCTGCTTCCAACTTTTTGCTATATGATTGGGATAAGAATCTCTTGGAGTTTCGGTCGAGGGACCTGGCTTCATGCCACCATCCTCACCGCTCAGCCTCCTGAGTAGGATTACAAATGTGAGCCCCCAGCCCCCAGCTCATAGTTCATAGGAATTTTAGGATTTGTTTCCTGTAAAGAATGCATTTGGTTTTTCATAGAGATCGCCTTCAGTCTGGAGTTTGTCTTTGCTGATGTGGCCATGTAGACTATGTAATTCTGCCTATCCATGAACATGGGAAATCTTACCATCATCTAGTGTCTTTAATTTCTTTCTTCTGTGTTTGGTAGATTTATAGAAGTCTTTAGTATGTTTGATTATAAAAATGCCTAAATTTGTTTTTCCTTGAAGCTGTTGTGAGTGCAGTTCTTTTCCTGATTTCTTTCTCAGCTGTTTAAGTCTGGAATTTCTACCAAAGATGTATTATTTCTCCTTTAGTCCTCTAAATCATTCTTTTATCCTTCTGCTCTGGTCTTTTTTCTTCTCCTAAAGGACAGGAGGTAGAAGAAACTCAAAAGTAAGAAATTAAAATTCCCTTCTGCAGGCATTTCAATAGGCAAGTCCAAGTCCTTGGGGAATAGAGTCAGCTCCTTGTGACTAGAGAATAGAAAAAAATGCTTGCCCCAAGAGCAATGAGATTCAGAGTTTTGGAAAACACTTCAGGCCAAACACAAATGTGTCTAGGCAACCTGAGCTAACAGCCTCACTCTTTCATTGAAGAAATTAAGCCCCACAGCCTATCCTTCCATTATAAACCATTTATCTTTGTGAAGTTGAGATCGGGAGTTAGTCCAGTGGGTCTGGACCACAGTTAGGCCTTGATTCCTGCTCTTGTCCAACCCCTTCTTTATCCATTGTGTGCTTACTAAATGCCTACTAAGGCCAAATACTGTTTACATTTCTGCAATTTCAAAGGAGATTGAAATCTGTCATTGCCCTGGAGGGATTCCGGTTTTAGTAGAAGAGACCTTACCTGGAGAGGTAATGACTGCATTTGATGAGACATGTAAAAGAAGTTGGAACGATCATGTGGAGGCTCAGGGCTGCCAGACTCATTGCTTGAGGAACTGGAAAACTTCTGGAGAAAGTCACCTGGAAAAGCTTAAATTGGAAGTGAGAGTTTATAAATTGTGTTTTATGACACCAGAAGTCTTTTTCCAAAAATTTCAAGATTATCTTCATAGTCAAAACTACTTCTTAAAAAACAAAACCAAGGGCTGGGAAGGTGGCTCAGTGGTAGAGTACTTGCCTTGCATGCCTGAGGCCCTAGGTTCGATTCCTCAGCACTACATAAGCAGAAAAAAAAAAAGCCGGAAGTGGTTCTGTGGCTCAAGTGGTAGAGTGCTAGCCTTGAGCTGAAGAGCTGAGGGACAGTGCCCAGGCCGAGTGCAGGCCCACGACCGGACCAAAAAAAAACAAAAACAAACAAAAAGCCAGTGAGTGGCTAGGAATGGGGCTTAGTGGTAGAGTGCTTGCATGAAACTGGGTACTGAGGTATGTGGTACTGAGGAGTACCACATACACAGAAAAAGCCAGAAGGAGTGCTGTGGCTCAAGCAATAGAGTTCTAGCCTTGAGCAAAAGCAGTTCAGGGACAGTGTCCAGGCCCAGAGTTCAAGCCCCAGGACTGCCAAAAATTAAAATTATAGATTATTATATTCTGGGTGCTAGGGATCAAGCCCAGCTTTTTTAACACTGAGCTACACCCCAAGTGTCAAACATCTAAAAACAATGATTATTATTAAGAAATGAGTTCAGTTGATAAAAGACAACTGAGAACTGTCACTGGTCTGCACTTACCAATCTGTGCCCAGCCGGCACTGATGGCACACCCCTGGGATCCTTACTACTCAAGAGGCTGAGATCTGAGAATCACAACCACTGTTTGAAGTCAGTCTGAGCAGACACATCCAAGAAAACCCTATATCCATTTAAGCAGCAAAAAGTTGGAAGTAGAGGTGTGCCTCAAGTGGTAGAATGCCAGCCTTGAGTGCAAAAGCCAAACATGAGTGAGACGCCCTGGGTCCAATACCCAGTCCTATACCTCCAAGGCCTTTGTTCCCTGGTTATTCTGAGGTAGGATCTTGCTTCTGCCTTGTGCAGCATGGACTAAATCCTCTCCTACTGCCCACTGTAGTTTAGATGACAGATATGCACTGCCACTCTCACCTTTTTCTGTTGAGATAATGTCTTACATATTTATTAATTTTCCTCCAAGCTGGCCTAGAACCTCAGTGCTTTTGTTCTCAATCCACCACCTTATTTGAGATAACAAGCATGTTCTACTCTGTCTACCTATTGCCTGAGAGTTGAGTCTTAGGAACTTTTTGCCCAGGCTGACCTCAAACCAAAATCCTTCCTTCTTGGCCTCTCCATCTCCACCTACTGAATAGCTAGGGTAACAAGATTGTATATTTTAGTCTACCTCCCAATATTGTTTCAGTTTACAGACTGAATCATTGACTTTGACTGATGTTTATGTTGATTGCAGAATAACAGACTAGCCTTTCTTTTGCCCTAGAGACTTTATTCCTCTGTTAATTCAAACTAGGCTTTCCACTTTTGTTGCCGACAATTTCAGGCTACCTCTTTCTTTACCTGATTTCTCTGGGTGAGTCACAAACAAGGCCCAACTGTTTGATATGTATCAGCTGAGAATTGAGCAAAAGCCTTGACCCAAATCTCAAATACCCAGAGGAAGGAGGAAGCTTCCCTATCTACCAATGTCTTCTGGAATGGCTCCTCAGGTCTCAGTGGAATCCATCACTTCCTTTCTAGCACTTGATGGACGAGTGTGGCTTGGAGCCTTCCTACAGAGCTCACAATACAGGGCTTTAGGAAGCCTCTAATTGTTGGAGAATGTAAGGTTGCCACCACAACTTTCTAAGCCATTATTGAAGTGGTCACACTCCCAAAATGCTGCCTAGATCTTAAGACTGGTCTCACAGCCACCAGGCTCTGATATATGACACAAACATGCACGATATGTGAGAAACTACACCATGATCGGGTAATGGTAGCTCTATTTTAAAAATAAATTCTGCCTCTTCAAATCACTTCTTTGGTAAAAGTGTCTCAAAAGGATACATTCCAAGCTGGGTGCCAGTGGCTCACACCTGTAATTCTAGCTATTCAGCAGACTGAGATTGGAGGATCCCAGTTCAAAACCAGCCCAGAGCAATGCTTATCGCCAATTAACTAGCAAAAAGCCAAAAGCAGAGATGTGTCTTAAGTGGTAAAGCTCAATTTTGAGTAAAAAAGCTAAGGAAGAACACAAAGCCCTGAGTTCAACCCCAGTCTGGCATAAGATTAATTATCAATCACCAATTGATTAAATAATTAGTGTTATGTTCTTTTATTACAATTATTAACTATATACATATTTATTATAATTTGTTAATATCAATCATACAGGTGTATTGTGGTGTACATTGTTTATCCATGCCATTTGACCACACACTGGTCGCTGGTGTTGGCCAGTCTGTGTTGTAAGGACCTTCCTGTGCAGGCAGGAAAGCCAGGTGACCGTGAGAGGATACCTGCACACAACACCCACATACACCCTTGAGTGGAAGGGCCAGTGAAAAGCCTCCTACAAATCGCTAATCCTGATTTTCAGTAGCAGGCTGTCATAAGTGATGATTCTGAAGGAAATTCTATGGTACCCTAGCTTCAGAATTTCTTTTTGCAAATTACACATCATGACCTTGTAACTTGCCCAATGTATTTAGTCAGCATCAAATCATAGATTTTTTTCTTTTTTGGGGGTCCGGTCATGGGGCCTGAACTCGGGGCCTGGGTACTGTCCCTCAGCTCTTCAGCTCAGGGCTAGCGCTCTACCACTTGAGCCACAGTGCCACTTCTGGCTTTTTCCTTTTTGCTTATGTGGTGCTGAGGAATCGAACTCAGGGCCTCAGTCATGCAAGGCAAGCGCTCTACCACTGAGCTACCTTACCAGCCAACATTTTAATAGAGACATAGCCTTCTTTCTGAGTTCTAGAAAGGCCCAGTCTTCTCTCCTCTCCCCATTCCCACCATCCCTTTTTCTTTTTCTCTGTAGCACTTAGGAATGTGTGAGATTGCTTCCAAATATGGAAATTCTGTGACTATATCAGAAACATACAGAGGTCAGATGCTTTCCTCACCCCTATTGCCTGCCTTGGTGCCAGCTACCAAACACTGGATTGAGCTGGATAGCAAATTTTTCCTTCCTTCCTTCCTTCCTTTTTTTTTTTTGGGTCCGGTCGTGGGGCTTGAACTCTGGGCCTGGGCGCTGTCCCTCAGCTCTTCAGCTCAAGGCTAGCACTCTACCACTTGAGCCACAGCGCCACTTCCGGCTTTTTTCTTTTTGTTTATGTGGTGCTGAGGAATCGAACCCAGGGCCTCCAGCATGCAAGGCAAGCTCTCTACCACTGAGCCACCTTCCCAGCCCCACTTCCTTCCTTTTTTTGTTGTTGGCTACGGCGTTTGAACTCGGCCTGGGCGCTGTCCCTGAGCTCTTTCCCTTAATGCTAGTGCTCTACCACTGTGAGGCACAGCTCCATTTCTGGTTTTCTGATGGTTAATTGGAGATAAGGATCTCATGGACTTTCCTACTGGGACAATCTTTGAACCATTATCCTCAGATCTCAGGATTACAGGCATGAGCTACCAGCGCCCAGTTAGGATAGCAAACTTTCCATGCTATCACACACTGTGAATTGAGCCAAACCTGCCATTTGGACCCAGTGAAGGTGGAGAATTCCTAAATTCTTGCCTTTTGAGTGAACATTTATCACTGTTCCAAATTCATCTCCTCCTTTCTTTCTTCCTCTCCAGATGTCCTAGTCTTGAATTCCCAGATTGAAGACCTGGGTTTTATTCTTTGCGGTTTTTGTTGTTTGATTGGTTGGATTTTGGCTTTTGGTTGTTTGCTTTCTGTTTGTTTATTTTGGCTGGTCCTGGGAGTTAAATTTAGGCCTGGAAATAAGCATCTCAGACTTTCCTGCCTGGGCTGCCTTCAAACTGTGATCCTTTGATTCAGCCTCCTGAGTAGCTAGGATTACACTTGTGAGCCACCAGCACCTGGCTAAGATGATGCTTCTGATATATTTTCATTATACTTTAGAGATATTTTCTGTGTAAAGTTCCATTGAGTGACCTACAGAAAATGGTTAAGAAATTAGCATTTCTCAGTTTTCAGGATCAATTCCAATTGTGACCATGTTAAATTCTCAAAAAAAAAATCTTAAAAAAAGACATCTATATTACTTTATGCAGATTGCTGGTTCTTTTCAGTGGTATAAATAAGAAATTCTCTTCTCTCTAATTGCTTCCATTCATGGATGAAGTGTTATGAAATCAGCGGTCCTTATCAGTTATATTTCTGGGTAGCTGAGTAAGGTGGGAAGTATGTTTGCTATGCAGGGGTAAGTGCTGGGGCAGCGGGATTTCATGCACTTTCTGTCAGCAAAGGCATCAATGGCCAGAAACCCTGATAAGTCTGATTGCCAGCAGTAGGGTCTGGATAATAGCAGAGTCCAGGACATCAGTGAATGTGCATGAACCGGCAGCACTGCTAAGCTGAACGACCATTCTGACCCCACGTAAACACCCTGGAGTTAACAAGCTAGCTTGCCCAGCTGCTGTGGGCTTAGCAGGCAGTGAGGCCCACCTTTAGATTTGTCAGAACAGTTTTCAGTTGGGTGCTGATGGCTCACACTGTAATGCTAGTTACTCAGGAGGCTGAGATCTAAGAATTGCAGTTCAAAGCCAGCCCAGGAAGGAAAACCATGAGACTCTTATCTCCAGTAAACTACTTAGAAAAAGTCAGAAATGGTGCTGTGGCTCAAGTGGTAGAGCGCTAGCCTTGAGCACAAAGAGGCTCAGGAATAGTGCCCAGGCCCTGGGTTCAAGCCCCAAGATCAGCAAAAAAAAAAAGCTCATTGTATCAGTTCAACAACTATTTAACTATATATGTTTTTAATCTTTTTTGTTGTTGTTGTTGTTTTGGTACTGGGGATAGAAACGAGGGCATTACACTTGCTAGGCAAGTGCTTTGCCACTAAGCTACATACCAGCCCTCAACAACTGTTAAACTGTTAGGACTAGTCCTATCTCTTATACTAAGTTGAATCATAAAATTGCCATATATGCGGGTTGAAACAGTCATCTAGTGCTGGCTTTACAGAGCTCAACCTGTTAATGGGATGCATAGGATTCAGGGAACAGCCACCGCTGTCCCTCATTCTCCTTTTTCCTTGGTATAATATTGGGAACATGTTATTTCTTTGAAAACACAATTTGGGCCCTGTGGCTCATACCAGTAATTCTAACTACACAGGAGGCTGAGATCTAAGGATCGCAGTTCAAAGCCAGCCCAGGCAGGAAAGTCCGAGAGACTCTTACCTCCAGAAAACCAGAAGTGTTGCTGTGGTTCAAGTGGTAGAGCACTCGCCTTGATCTGAAGAGCTCAAGGACAGCACCTAGGTCCAGAGTTCAAGCCCCATGATTGACAAAAAAGAGAAAAGAAAACACAATTTGGGGCAGAAATACTTTTTGAAATTGCTTAATGTAATTATAGTATTTTTAAACACACATACACATACCACCTCACTGGGCATGAATGGTTCATGCCTGTAATCCTTGCTACTCAGAAGACTGAGATGTGAAAACCATGATTTGAAGCCAACCTGGGCAAGAGAAGTCCATGACACTCTTATTTCTAATTAACCACCAAGACACTGGAAGTGGAGCTGTGGCTCAAAGCATCAGCTTTGAGCATAAAAGTAAGGAGATCATGAGACCCTGAGTTCATGCCTCAGTACTAATGAAAGAGATGGAGAAGGGAAGGAAGGAAGGAAGGAAGGAAGGAAGGAAGGAAGGAAGGGAGGGAGGGAGGGAGGGAGGGAAGGAAGGAGGAAGGGAAGGAGAAGGAAAGGAAGGAAACACTTAAAAGCATCCTGCCTAATACATTTTCTATTCTTTTTTGTTTTGTTTTGGGGCTTAAACTCGGTGCCTGGGCACTGCCCCTCAGCTCTTTTGCTCAAGGCTAGCCCTCTACCACTTGAACCACAGCGTCACTTCCAGAGTTTTGGTTGCTTAATTGGAGATAAGAGTCTCACAGTCTTTCACATCTGGCTGGCTTCAAATGGTGATCCTCAGATCTCAGCTTCCCAATAGCTAGAATGACATGCATGGGCCACCAGTACCCAGCCATCCCTCTAAATATATAGTGTCCACACTGGGGTTTGAATTCAGGGCCCTCATGCTTTTGCTTAGCTTTTTAACTTAAAGCTGATGCTCTACAATTGAGCCATATGTCCACTTCTGGCTCTTTTTTTTGCCATTTAATTGGAAATAAGTCTTCAGATTAGGCTGCCCTGACTGGCTTCCAACCTACATCCTCAGATCTCAGCCTCCTGAGAAGCTAGGATTACAGATGTGAGCCACCAGTGCCCAGTTGTATCATCCCGTGTTTGAGCATCTGGATTGATATTTATCAATAACAATCTTGAAACCTTCAAGATCTCAAAATAGTATCCTCATCTTTACAAATGAGGGTACTGCTACATAGCAAATTAAAGTTCTTGAGAATTAAAACACTGAGCAAACTAGAACTTTGATCTATGGTACATTGTCATGTCTTAGTTGCCATTCATTTCTTAGCTACAAAACATTTGCCTCATATCCCCCCACTCACACCCATCCACTGATATCCCCACTTATATCCAACTACTCATATGCCCCATTCATATCCTTCACTCATATCCCCCATTCATATCTACCCATTCATATCTACCCATTCATGTCCTCCACTCATATCCATACAGGGGCATAGTGGCTCACACCCAGTTTTGGGAGACTCATGATTAAAGGCCAACCTGGGCAAAAGAGTCCTCAAATCATACAATTGGCATGCACCTGTCGTCCCTACTCCAGTGAAAAGAGTCCATACATAGAGGAAGATCACAGACTATGCTATCCTAGACAAGAATATCTCAAAAATAATCTGAGTATAAAGGCCCTAAGATGTGGTTCGACAGGTAGAGCAATCAGCCTACCAAGTGCAAAGCCCTGAGTTCAAATTCCAGAAATGTCTCCCCCCCCAAAAAAAAACCCCACAAAAGTGCAGTGAAAAATAATAGCTGCCATACCACTGTCACTTTGGTACTTTGAATGAAATTAGACCAAAGATTTGTTGATGGACATGATTATGTATTGCATGACTAATTTAGTGGTTACTTTCAGATGTAATAGCCATTGAGCAGTCTATGGTTTATTGGTCCAAGTCTGTCACAGTTTTACAACTTCACCAATTTCTTTTTTTTTGGGGGGGGGTCCGGTTGTGGGGCCTGGGCACTGTCCCTCAGCTCTTCAGCTCAAGGCTAGCCACAGCGCCACTTCTGGCTTTTTTCTTTTTGCTTATGTGGTGCTGAGGAATTGAACCCAGGGCCTCAGGCATGCAAGGCAAGCGCTCTACCACTGAGCCACCTTCCCAGCCCAACTTCACCAATTTCTACACAAAAGAAAAAGAAACGGCAAGGAATACTGGGAAATAAAGGCATGTTGGCTACACTGCTAAGACTTATTTTTTATGTGTTCGTTTGTCTTGATAGAAATATGAGCTCAGCCGGCGCTGATGGGAGGAAGGTAATGAGGAGATGCGATGGACTCATTGACTCCCTGGTCCACTACATCCGAGGGACCATCGCTGATTACCAGCCAGATGATAAGGTGACTCAGGAGCTGACCACCTCAACCACTGAGTTGCCTAATGTGACTTCTAACATGCTGAGTATTGGTTGTTTTTCTGTGCCAGTCCTGGAGCTTGGACTCATAGCCTGGGCACTGTCCCTGAGCTTTTGTGCTCAAGGCTAGTGCTCTACTACTTGAACCACTGTTCCACTTCCTGCTTTTTTGGTGGGTAATTAAACATAAGAATCCCATGGGGGGCTGGGAAGGTGGCTCAGTGGTAGAGTGCTTGCCTTGCATGCATGAGGCCCTGGGTTCGATTCCTCAGCACCACATAAGCAGAAAAA